CATCAAACATATTAGTTTTGACTTTTGAAAACTTTAATTGTTTTAACTTTAATTCTAGAATTTGAACCTATTTCGATCTAATGTGGGATTATCAACAATAATCGAGGTGACGTGGCATCGTTAACACGGGATTACTGTAGCCTGATTACCCGGGCGTCACATAGGGGGCGGCTATTTATAGCCTAGGGAGCAGCCCGACATGATAAGACATAAATGCCCTTGTCTGATATGACCGTTAGGTGGATAAGATATTTTGGGACAGTTGGCGCGTAGCACAAAAACGGTCGGAAATTTGACTATCAAATTCCTCAGGGCTATCATGTTTCTCACTGTGTAGGCAATCCGCACTGGCAAATTCCTAACTCCTCAGTCAGAACAAATTCCTCAGCGACCAGAAGAACTTCGTCTCTGTCACTGAAGAAATTGACTGAACTGTATGAGATTTCCAAAGGCTTCACTCGAAGGGTTTCGTAGGTGTAGGATTTTGAGTTGAGCATCACTTGGAAATTTTTCCTTAGTATTTCCTCGACCCCATTTAACAGTATGGTGTTTCCTATGACTCAAGAAAGAGAAAAACAAAACTATGAAAACGAAGTCTTCAAGCTTCATATTCCTCGCATGAATATCAAGTCTTCACGGTAACACCAATTTCTTCACTTTCAAAGTCTTCATGAAAGTCTTCAAAAATACCAAAATCTTCAGTCAAAGATATTCATTTTTAGGGGTCGACTTTCCCTGTAAATATCAAACTCCTTATAGACTTATAGGCCTATGTACACTCACAAACACATTAGTCCCTTAACATATGTCTTCAATACACCAAAATCACTAAGGGGCACTAGATGCACTTACAACTCTCTCAACATACATACATGTCATCTCATCATCCAATAATTATTTCTTTTAATATGCATGAGAATTGATTTTTTTTTTTGAACAGTGAAAGGGCCCAAGGCCCATACTTCATTGGATAAGCATCAAAGCATAGATTACAACAGGACCCAACAGAAAAAGAAAATAACAAGTAAGTCCCTGACTTTTACATGGAGGACCCCAAACTGAGAGCAAGAAACGCGATCGGGTCCTTGACAGCCGCCTTCTAGATTGAACCTCGCCGCCGCCGGGAACGATCCACTTGGTGCGACGAAATCGCCATAGAAGCATAACCTGCTCCGCATGGCCTCCGAGTTGCAGCTGAAACTGCCTCCCATAAGGCACGCAAGCCGGGAGGAATAGATTCGGCCGCCATTCGACCAGAAGAAGCAGAGCACCAATAAAGACCGCCGGCCAGCCAAGGGCGCCGTAGCTCCACCAAGGAATCCTCTGCTGATAAGCTCGAACTCGATCTGTAGGCTTTAGATTTCTGCATCTTCCTTGCTCCTCATCCACCCCCATGATGGCCTGAAAAAGCAAGCAGCAGCAGATGGTTGCCCTCCAGATCAGGGAAGATAACATGCTTATTGGAGAGGGAGAGCTCCTGCCAGATCCACTCCTATCTGCTCCCGTCCTCCATGGACGGTAAGCTCGGGAGGAACCCGGCGAGCACCGAACGCTGCCTGGACGCGTCGATGGGGAGCTCGGGAACGGCATAACGCTAGACGCCCCGAAGGCAAGACTCTCTCGACTACTAGATTTACTACTACTATATACAGAGGGGGGCCAACCACCTATCCCATCATCACGCCGGACGGCAGAGCCGCTGGAGAGAAAGAGGGAAAGGGGCGAAATCAGAGCAAGCAAGACGACTCTCAACGTGTGCGAGTGGAGAGTCATGCATGAGAATTGCTATTTATATGATCTCTCAACATGCAAAACTTCCCAACTTAAATCATTTAAATAATATTTCTCTTGACATGCATGAGAAATATAATATATTATATCTAATTTAATTTTCATTTAAATTTCATCAAAAAGTATTAAAATCAATCCCTGTAGCAACACATGGGGTATCATCTAGTTTATATTAAAGACTCATCCTTACAAGGAGACCCAGAAACAACAAAATTTACAAATAAGTCCCTCTAGATCCCAACAATGTGGGCATGAGGCGTCCATGACGAGCCGGTGGCGCGCCACTGCCGCTGCTCGTCCTCGACCTTGAATTTGGAGCCACCCTATTCCGTAGACAGGAAGTCACCGATTCAAATACATTCCAGGAAGTCACCGCTCCATCCTCTAATTCGCGAACATCTTTGAAAATTGCAAACATTATTGAAACACATTAACATTTTCCAAAACGACAAACAATTTGAGTTCATAAACATTTTCTCAAATTTGCAAATGTGTTTCGAAATCACAAACATTTTTTGAATTCACGAACTATTTTGAAGTTCCCAAACATTTTTTGAATTTGTGATTCTTTTTTAATTTGTATTTTTTAGAATCATGAACATTTTCAAATTCATGAGTATTTTTCAAAATCACAAATATTTTTCAAATCCATGAACATTTTTCAAAATCACAAGTATTTTTAAAATCCACAAACATTTTTAAAAATCACAAAAAAGATTCAAATCTGTGAACTATTTTTGAATTAGTGAACATATTTTAAATTCACAAACATTTTTTCAAATCCTAAATATTTTTAAATTATTGTAACATCGACTTTTTTTACTGTAACTGTATGGCGGAAAAATTTATCTCAACACCAACTCAATGTACATGGTGAGAATCACCTAGAGAAAAAACAGAGGTCATCAAGGAAGAAGAAAAAGAGGAAGTCGATGGGAGTCGGAGGTTAGTCTTTTGCAGGGATAGAATTATCATACTCGCAAAAAAAGGGGTAGAATTTGTTTAAAATAGACCGCAGGATGGCGGTGTAACATTGAATAATTAGACTCGTTGTGCACAAACAATGCATATCTGTTTGAATTTTGTTTAAAATAGAGTAAAGTTTCCTAAAAAAAGAGAGTAAAGTTCAACTTTGTGCACTACGTGAGAGGCTGAAATGCGAGCCCATCTGTATCTGTTTTTTTGCCATTTTTCACAGAATTCGTCTTCTTTCCTGTAACGTAGGTTCACAGTGTGCCCAAAAAAACAAAAGGAAAAACAAGAAAACGCCTTGGTTCGATCAGTTCCGCTCTGCTTGTTTCGATCAGCTCTGTCCACAACACTTGTTTGATTTGTGCAGCTCGACCCCTGTTTAGAAACCAACTGTGCAGATTTCGTCTCCAGTTTCAGTGTGCTCAGTGACACCTAATGAACTTTTTTGGGAGGCAAACTCAAAACTCTGCATTCCATTAAGTCCAAAACACAGCAAGGGAAACACCAGCCCCTGATTTATTTATTTGCGAGACACAGCCCCTGATTAAAGAAGCAGACAGATTACAAAGATGATTAAACCTAAGAAAAAGCAAGAACTGATGACCTGAACGGTGATGCATAACCTGAAGGGTTGCACAAGCCGCCGAAAGAACCTGGTATCATTACTCAAAATCTGAACTCCACATAGTTTCTCTTGAGCTGCTCAGACTTCGAGACCATTGTGAAATTCTCAAACCCTGGATGTCTTTACCTGATGGTGGCTTTCTTCAATGGAGCCTTTGTTTAGGCATGTGTTGGCTTCTCTTGTTATTTAGTTCTCAATGTGTTCGCTTGATGGCGCCTTTTTTACACTACACAAGTGATAGGCTGAGATGCAATACAATAAATGTTTTCTCTGCCGTTTTGCACAAAAATATCACCATGTGCATGTATGTTCAGTGTAAGAAAGCATTTCTTCCTTGTTTGTAACCCCTTTGCTTTGTTTTCATATTGTGCACATGTGTTGTGTCGATGAGTTATGAAAAATCCCATCTAGCGCAGAAACTGCTCTAAAGAAACGGTTAGCAGATCGAATCTCCAGGTTTAGTGCGCCCAATGACACCTGAACCTTAAATATTGCACAAGCAGGCAAAAGAACCTGATCGATATTCTTTTGAAATCCAAACACTGAAGCTATAAGAATAAAATTGTGCAATGTTCGGAGATCTCAATCAGAGGAAGCAGACCTTACAAATAGGAGCAAAGCAAAGATATTACAAATCAAAGCTACTGTCATCACATAAGCAAGAATTCTGTCTAGAACATGCGAAGCCAATTGGTACTTGTCGCAAGGAAATAGCAGGTGCACCTGTCCTCCCAGTTTACTTGAATAGATTTGGGGTTTCAAACTTCTGCTGATATATAATAAACACGAATTAATAGCCAAAGACAGGATTCAGGGCGATCGACGTCTTTTCCTGTTCCTGTTCCTGTTCATTCCTTTTAGACTGTCGTAGCTTTCAATCTCTGCCGAGTAGCGAACTGATTTGGCAGCACCATGCACACCTTCCTGAGACATCTGCTGGCAGCCTATAACGGTCAGGGACTCCAACTTCTGTGAACGTGCCAGCTCAGCCATTCCACGATCTGTCACGTTCTCACATCTGCGGAGGATGAGACTACTCATGCAAGGAGCTTGAATAATGTGACTAATACCAGCATCAGTTACAGACATGCAATCCATGAGCGCAAGTGTCTTCAGGAACTGTGCGGATGAGAGGCCCTCCATCCCCTCGTCATACAAAATGCTGGCACCATTTAGCAAAAGAGCACGAATTGGACAAGATTGGACGAGCGCCACAATGCCCTATTTCAGTAGGCCAATCGGGTTCGCAGAATGTGAAGGTGAGCTCAACAGCCTGAAGCATAGGGCAACTGAGAGCTAGAGCCTTAAGGCTAACATCAGTCAATGGCGTCCTATACTCATAACCTTCACAATGCAGAGGCATGAGCCGAAGTGAGATTGTTTTAAGGTTGTTGCACCTCTGAAATAGTGCAATCATCTCATTCTCTTTTAGACCAATAACATACTCCAGGTAAAGTGTCTCCAATGCTTTGCACTTCCCCAGGAGAAAACGAAGCCCAATTTCTGGCTCTGTTATAATATGAGCCAACCTAAGATCCTTCAAATTATCACAGCAGATGTCATAGCTGTATGGGTAGCCAGACACAAAGGAGGGATCACTGGCCCCTGTAATTCAGTAATTTCCATTAATCTCGAACTCAAACTTTTGGAGATTCGACCATCCTGGGCCAAACTTTAAAAGGTCATACTGGCTGATTCCATCGCAATCCTTAACAACAAGTTCCCCCAGTGATCCATACCTCCCAAGGTACTCCAGCCACTCCCTGGTGTCTACTGCCGTACAGTCAACAAGGTGGAGAACCGAAAGATACCAGCAACCAACCGCCACCCGGAAAATCCCAGTAGAAGTGACTGCTGATGCATGGTCCAGCCTGAGCGACCTCAATTTTTTGCAATCAGCTAGATAACCAAGACCAGAGTCACCAATGTATGAGCAGAAGCTTAAAGCAAGATCGGACAGGAAGGGGCAGTGAGAAGATAGAACACGGAGGCCTTGGTTGTTCAACTGGTCCCCGTTGCTGGGCTTCCATCCAGAATAGTTGATCTCTACTTTTGCCAAATTGAGGAACCGGGAGAACAGCGATACCATGGCTTCTGTAGAAGGGTCGAGTCCACAGCCAACGCGGATAGCATCCCTGTGCTCCGCCTCAACGGTGCAGAGCTGCTTCGACACGAGGGAAAGAGAATTAAGATCACTTGTCTTGGTAATCCTCTTGACGATCTCTGCAAGCAGTGGCTCTGGGAGATCCTCCATTGAGTATCTCAGCTGCACAACTTGGGCAGCCTCAAGGTTCGGCAGGCGCTGAAGTAAAGATTCATTATGAGAATGGAACACAGCAAGATAACCAAATGACAGCTGTAAGAGCTACTGTAAAAGGAAACATCAGTGAAAAATTGAACTTTCAATACTACTCCCTCCGTTCCTAAATGTAAGTCTTTTTAGATATTTCACTACAAACTACATACGAATGTATATAGACATATTATAGAATGTAGATTCACTCATTTTGCTCCGTATGTAGTCCATAGTGAAATCTCTAAAAAGACTTACATTTAGGAACCGAGGGAGTAGTTTGAAAGATTCATGCGCTTATCTTGACAGTGAATGGTAACCAACTGCAGGCTAATATTTGCATCCAAATCATGGAACAAAAGATACTACAAGGAAAAATTAATCAAACGACCTAACGTGTGAAATTGCTGCTGGGTGGGGGGTGGGGGAAGGGGATAGTCTAAAAAGTAAAAACACACCAATTAGAAGAGCAAGTCCACGAGATAATCAAACATCCACCTGCTGAACTGAACACATGTCTGGAAGGATCGAACCATAGCGATTTCTAGACACTCCAGGGCAGGTTTTAATTATACTGAAAAAAAGGGTTATTTCCTCTAGAATTTCACAGATATACTGAAAAAAAGGTTTTAATTATACTAAAAAAGGGTTATCTGAACCAATCAGATGAAGTTAGCCCATACGCGGTGGGCTAACTGCATCGGCAGAGCCAAGTACGCGGTGGAAGAACGGATCGCACGCAGACATCGCGGCACGGGATGAACAGAGCTCAGGTGGAATAACCGGCATCGCCTCGGCTGGCTCAACCAATGTTGCTCGAGCAGGGGAGGGACTGGACCCATATCCGTACCTCGGAGGAGCCGACGAACCAGGAACGGCGGCGCCAGCCGGAACGGGGAAAGCTGGGCGGGAACGGCGGTGAGCAAGGGGGGCGGATTGAGCGGCGAGGTCGACGGCAAACCCTCGCGGCGAGAGCGTCGGCTGGCTTGGCGAGCTCGGATGGATTTGTTTTCTTTTTTGGCTCAGATTAGGTACGCAGCAGCAACTAAGGTGGCTTGGGCTTCGGCCGGACTTGATGATGCGGCCCATATTCGACCCCAACTAACTGAATCTCGTACTAAACAAAATTAATTTTGGTCTAAAAAAACCAAACCGACTCTAATGAACAAGGAAAAAAAAGCATCGCACTTAGTACGTGTGATCGGAATGTGTGCCTAAGTGAATTCGTTGTTGCCTTAATTTAACATTTAAGAAACAACAAAGCAAGTAGAAGAATCGGCATCGCCTCGATCGGCTGGCTCAACCAATGTTGCTCGAGAAGGGAAAGTAATAGACCCAAATCCGTACCTCGCAGGAGCTGACGAACCAGAAGAGGAGGCGCTGATCCAAAGGGGAGAGCTGAGTGGCAACGACGGTGCTAAAGATTGGAAGGAATGGCTGAGAAACCTCCGCGTCGAGGTCGAGTGGTCGACAACAAAACCCCCACCTTCCTCATGACATGAGTAATACTACCTCCGTCCGGGTTTTTAGGTCCCCTTGGTGCCGCACGCTCGTACCACATTTACAGGGCCGCTCCCTCGGGCGCCATGCAAAAAGTGAAGGCGCTGCGTCTTTCCAAAGCGCAATCAATTCAAAGCTGCTGGCGTATAGCTTGCATGCAGATGGGCTATTACTAATACTACTCCACCCCGCAATACTAGTACTCCACCCCGCAGAAGCACGAACAGACGCGAGCGCGACCAGCACGCCGCGGCCACCCACGCGACAGCTTGCGAGCATGCCGCCGCGACCGAAGACGGAGAAAACGGGGCTTCGCCGCCGCCGGCGAGAGGATGCGCTGCATCACGTCGTCCATACTGCGGCGGAGGTAGGCGTGGACGACGTGGCGCTGGCGCAGCACGCCGTCGAGGTCGATCCTAACGCGGAGACCCAGGCGGGGCGGGGCTTGGATGCGCCGCCGCCCGACCTCGTCGTTGGTGGGCACGCAGAGCTCGGCGTCGACGATGGGGCGCTCGTCGAGCATGGCGTCGAGGTCGATCCTGACGCGGAGACCCAGACGAAGCTCGGCTTGGAGGTGCCAGCGCACGCAGAGCTCGTCGTTGGTGATGCGACTCGGGGTACTCAGGTAAGTGTTCATGGTTTATTTATGCTTGTCATGTTGATGCATGCTAGCCCAGAACGCACCGCCGTCGTGCGCGCCGAGAGCACCTCCGTCATGCGCGCCGAAAACTTCATGCCCGGTGAAGCCACTCCCGCCGAGCCATCCAACAGCTTGTGTACGACCGGCAAGACCGAGCCGCCCATGAGTGCGTCCTCCGCTTGAGCTTGATGGGAGCGATCCGCGGCTCGGGTCAAAAGCTCCTCGCCGGCGTCCTGCTAGACCTAGCGGAGGAAGGCCGACGACGCGAGCTCCAACTTGTGGTCCTCCGGCGCCCACTCCGCCGCCGGCAGTCCCATCGTGCCCACGTCCAAACGCCTCCCCTTCGCCGCCGCCGTCCTCTAAGTCTACTGGAGGTAGGTTTAGATCAAAAAACGCCATGGAGTTCTGGAAGAAGGACGAGAACGAATGAGTACGATTAAGCATGCATCATGTGTTGTTCTTATAAGGAGAATTTGAAGCTGTGTCGATGGCCGTGGCGCCATTTTTTCTCTGGCCGAGCTTTGATCGATCCGTGGCATCGTGAATTGACCAATGGATGGTTGATCGATCCGTGGCATGATGAATTGTCCAATGGATGCTAGCGAGGGAGCAAGCTGATTGGGTCACGACGCCCACGCCGGATCATGCAAGCGAGAGTACTGCATGCACGCGTGCAAAGAAAAAGCGAAGCGTTGCATGCATGCAGTAATAACTGCGCGAAGCTCGTTGGCCGTCGCTCTGCCACAATATCTGCTGCTGCTGCAGCAGATCCTGCCTTGGTCAGTGCGTTCCGGTCGGGGGGACTTAAAAACCCGAACGGAGGTAGTATGCCGCAGCAGCAACAACAACAAAGTTGGCTTGAGCTTAGCCCGACTTGATGATGAGGCCCATATTCCACTGGGGAGTTAGTGATCGGAATGTGTGCTAGTAAATCAATCTGTTGGGAGCGTTTATCTCGCATGTAACGAAATAGATTCCCTCAAAAAAATCTAACAAAATAGATGGACGACTAGCCTCAGGTGACACTATTGCGGGTCGGACCATTTCGTTTTTTTTCATTTATTTTACCCTTTTATATTTTTGAAATATTCTAAATATATATACATACTATAAAAATTCATTTACTTAGTTCTTTTAAATCACCGCACATTAAAATAAAATCATGCAATTTAAAAACTTTACATACCATAGAAACAAAAAAAAATGTCATTGAAAAAATTTCACACGTTTAAAAGTTTGTTCATAAAAACAATAAAATGTTAATGAAAATGTTTTAAGAATAGCATAATATTTAAAAATACATACCAATCAAAAATGTGTTCATGACATTAAAAAAATGTTGGCAGGCTTAAAAATGTGTTTCATGAAATAAACAAAATCGAAATTTTAGAAAATGTTCATAACATATAAAAATGTTTCTTCCATTTAAGAAAGAAATGTTCTAACACTTTACAAATTTTTGAACGTTTCAAAGATTGTTCATGAAATCTTTGAAAATTGTTCAATGGATGTTCCAAAATGATATGGGTGTTCCAAAATGATCACTTTGTAGTGTTCATGACATTCAAAGAATGTTGGCACGTATAAAAATGTGTTTGACAAAATTTTAAAAAACATTAAATGAAAAAAAATTCGCATTTTTATAAAAATGTCCATAACATATAAAAATATTCCTTCCATTTAAGAAAGAAATGTTCTAACACTTAACAAATGTTTGCATGCTTAAAAAATTGTTCATGAAATTGTTGAAAATTGTTCAACGGGTGTTTCAAAATGATCACTTTGTACCCAAAAAAACACCATTTATTTTAAAAAAATGTTGAATGTGCATTTTATAAATGTTTAACACGTATCCGGATAAATATTCAACATGTATCTAAAAAATGTCCAATATGTATCTAAAAAATGTTCAACCTATACAAAAATGTTCAACATGTATTCAATATAAAAAGTCGGCATGTATTTAAGAAAAAAAACATTCACACGTTTTAGTATACCTTTCTCTTCGACGTCATTCACACGTAGCCGCGGCTGACTAGTTCTGTGTAACTCCTGATGTGTCAGGTTCAGAGTTAACTGACCATCTCACACATGTTCGCTAGCGATTTTTGGACAGGAAAACTGTGACTCTAGCTAGGGGTTTTATGGCTTTCAGATACGCATAAGAGGGCCAGCCAGAACATTGCCGCTAGGGTTTTAACCCGGTACAAGACCGGTTGCATCTAGCAACCTGAAGTCTTGGCTCTTGTAGCCATTACATCACTAATTAATAAAGCAGAAAGCTGGCTGTAAAGGAAATTCAAATAGCGACCCGCTGAGTAGTTTCAGCCATCCGATGACAGATCGGTGTCAACAGCATCATCGTCTTGGCTGAGATGCAACAATGTATATGTTTTCTCTGCCATTTTACATAGATCTTTGCCTTCTTTAGTGTAACGACAGAATATTACCATGAATGTTTCAGTGTAGTAAAAGGGCATTTGTTTCATGCGCGCACATGTGTTGAGTTGATAAGTTCAGAAAATTCCTATCTGTAGCATAAACTGCTTTAAAACAACGGTTAGCAGATCTCACCTCCAGGTTTAATGTGCTCAGTTACGCCTGAACATTAAATATTGCACAAGCAGCCAAAAGAACCTGATAATTCTTTTGAAATTTAGAACACCGAGAATATAAAAATAGAAGGGAACCATGTTTGGAGATCTCAAACAGATGAAGGACACCTTTCAGATAGCTACAATAAAAGGATTAATGGAAAACTCTTCCTCGGTGGATGTGATGAACAATGCATCATACCAGGATTGAGCCGAGGTGTACAAAG